GAGACTTCAATGAGGTAAATAAGGAAAGATGTTGAAATAATTATTTAAAAAAATTATTGATTCCTTTTGGCAAAGTGTTTCCCAAATTTTAATGTACCTTATTAATTTACTACAAATCTGTAATAGTTCCTGTCTTATCTTTGTTGGTATCAAGTTTCATCCATTTGAGTCTTTAATGATTAAAACCAGGTAAGATAAATAAAACTATACACATCTTGTAATTCTCTTATTACTGTTACATTCTAAAAATAAGTTTGTCATTTGTATGTCCTTTCATGAATTTACTGCTGAGGTAGTTTTTAAATCCTGAATTTTATCTTTATTGTTACATATATATTTAAATATTTGTAAACAGAAATAGCTAATTTTTTTAAAATTCTGAATTACTTAAACTATATATATATTTGAATCTATTTCTATGTAGCTCTTTATTTTTTAAAATTTTTTTATTTTTTTTTGGTTTTGGTTTTTCTCCGGTACCGGGAACCAAACTCACGACCTTGTGCTTGCCAGGCAGGCGCTTTGCCGCTGAGCTAAATCCCCAGCCCCTCTATGTAGCTCTTTAAAGCAAGCATAATGATTCTTTGCCATCTCTGTTACAAACATGTTGTAGTTTAATATTCTTACTTGTACGTGATATTTAAATCATAATTTTAACATAAAAACAAGACATGTATGCACCTAAGAAAATATGTATAATTATGAAAAAAATAGGAAAATGAAAAAAAGTTAAAAATCATCGATCTTACTGCCCAGAGTTAATCTCACTGTCTTTTTATTGTACTAGATAAGAACTTGCTTATTGGGGCCTGAGCAGATCACTGGGCAAGAAGCACTGCTAGTGCTTTTGCTGTCTACCTATTGTGAAAAAAAAAAAAGAAAAAGATTAAGGCAAAATAAAAATTAACAATTTATTTGAGAAAAAAAATCATAAATCAAGAAGCACCAGACTGAATGGAGGTTATGGGATCTGTTCTAACTTCCTGAGCAGCTTCATTGTGTAGGTTTATGCAGAAGTAAAAAAATTACTTGACTGGTCAACATTTGCTTTATTTGTGCGTGGTTTAACAGGAGGTTCGTACTGACATAGCTGCTCAAATATCTGACTGAGGTTGCCTGAAGCTTGTTTCATTTTGTTTGTTTGTGATTTTGTTGTTTTATTTTCGTTGTTGCGCTTGTTTTTGTTTTATTCAGTCAGTTACAAGAAATTTCTCCATGTTTAGTTGTGGTGTACTTGCACAAGAGCTCTGGGTGCAGAGATGACTTCAGAGTAAGGTCTTTCTTGTTCGCTTGACCTGGCCCTCAGTCCCTCATTAACCAGTCGTCTCTAATGCTTTAAGAGCTTCTGACCTTGGGCTGCCTTCCCTTCTTTCACAGAAGGCGAGACAGTCCCTCCTCAATTCTTTGGACAGGATGAAGTGGTAAGCAGGAGACTCCCAGGGAAGCACGTGGGGGGTTCAAGTCCCTCGTGTTTCCGATTCTTAACGATGCAGCACCTCACAGCCCCTGAAATAGGTGGGCCGTAACATGAGACTCAGTGTCCCAGCCCTGGTGTGGATGAGTTTGGCAGAGGGGCAGGCGAAAGCAGAGACAAGCAAACCACTGTTCAAACGGAGATAAATGTTGATATTTTAGTTCTATTTAGAGCAAAAACTATAGAGCCCAAAGTGACTTCAATTTGAAATATATTTAAGCTTTGGGACATTGGTAGATAATTCTTTTTTTAATTTCTTTTTAATTCTAAATAAAAAACCACATTTTGTGCTGAACAATGGAATATAAAAGAATCAAATGTTCAGTGATTTTAGACATCTACTATTTGGGGAAAAGAGTTTACAAAATGCACAAAACTTTACAGCGATAAATAGTAAACTCCTAAATATTAGGAGGCCAGAACTTATTAGTGGATATTTCTTTTCCTGGTATTATACAGAAATGCATGCATATTTTAAAAAGCCTACAACCACCAACCTTAAGGAGCAAATTCTTAAGGCAACATTACACAATCATAATTATCACCTCTCCAGAAAGACTGCTAAGACATGTCGTGTCCTATGTTTACTGGAGGTAGGGAAGCAGTTTCTTTACAGAAGGCACCCAAACTTTGAGCAGACCATGTCCTCAGTCTGTAGCTCATCTGCTTTTTACCGGGAGGAAGACTGTCAAAGGTGAAGCATCTGGGGCATGAGCTAACATACTTTTCCTCTTTCTCAACAGAAATAATATCATATTTTACATGATTTTTAGAAATTATATATTCTGTTTCATACTATTACATATTTTATAAAATCATATAAATAACTGGTACGTATTTTGCGTTATGTAGTTTCTTGAATGATTTCTCTTTTTGTGAAATTTTGTTTTCTCTCTTTTTTATATAGTGAACAATTACAAATCCATTTAGAGTCAAATATTTGAGTATCCCCAGTATTATTTCCATGAAAGAAATCACCACACATGGATGTTTATTATCTAATTATTCTCCAGAAAATGTCAATTTAGAGTTCTATAAGCAATATATTAGAAAACTTAGCTTATCTTTTACTCCCGTACAAAATTTATATACATCTTTTAAAAATCCTTTCCCCCAATATGATGGGTTATAAGTGAGGTTCCTAGAACAGAGCCTCATAATTGTGCAAGGCTTGCACTGGGAACTACACAAGTGAGGCCTACGGACTAGGACAGGCACGGGGAGGAGCTGAACTGCAACACGAGTTCACCTAAGCTTCTGCCATTCTTTAGAGACATTCAGGACCTGGAATGCTCTTCAGAATTGCTGATCCTTAAGGAAAGGGGAAGGGAACTGATGCCCGTGTGACAAGCCGAAAGCTGCCCAGGAAGGTTGTGCTTTGGATGGGGAGGCTGCCTCCATGGAGGACCAATCATGGAGAAGGGCTTTGCCGTGAGCCATGTTACAAGGAGGCCAGGGGTTGAGGAGTGAGCACTGTCCTCAGGAGACAGTTGGGGTGGTGGGTCAGAGCCTCTACTATGCTCCATGCCTTCAGCCACTCAGTCAATGACTTTGCAGAGTAACTATTGGGACTGGCTCCTCCACAGTTATGGTTGGTTTCTTTTACAGGAAAATTTACAAGCGGGAGGTAGTGAAATAATCTACTGTCTCGGTCACAACTGATGTTGAGGCTGCAACAGGTGCTTCTCAGTATAACCCTAGAATTCTCTTACCCTACTTGCTTTTCTAACTATAATAGGTAGCACAATCCGAGCAAACAGCTCTGAGATATGCACACAGGACAACTATATGTCCTCCAGAGGCACACGCCAAAGTGCCCCCTTCCTCCAATGGGGCTCATCTCTCAGAAGCGTATTCAATCGTGAGTTCGTTGGTGGATTCATCCACTGATGCGTGTGACACCCTATGACCCAGGCATCTTCCAAACGTCCTAGCTCCAAACACATGAGATACAGAGTACATTTTAGATCTAGCCTATAATATTCATCTGTGTTCTGTTGAACAACATGATGAGGAATGAGAGAAGAATTGTGCAAAAGAATGGGTTGAAATTGAGATGTAGTTGCAAGAGGCTTCCTCCAATTCTGTAGAAGCCCCAGAGCTGAAACGGGTTTTCAGATTGGGCCCACCTTTCTGTAAGGTGACAGGACGTTATATTCTTGCACTGTACCAGTCATTAGAGGCAGGCTGCTGAAGGGTAGGGGGCGTCCTGTTGGGTACAGTGGGTGTTTTCAGCTAATGGCTCTTCTAGAGAAATGCTCAGCTGAAATCTGCTAGCTTCCAGCACCACAGCAGTGGAAAGAATGTTCACTGCAGTTTTAAAATGAAATGCAGGCAACACATCAGTATCTAGTGGAGACTTAACATGACATTTTATTATTGCTATAATTTATATTATGATATGTCAATTAACCATAAGCATCCCTCCTTTTTGAATTGCTTGCATATTTCTTCTTTATAGTTCTTAACAAAATAGTATTTCATTCATTTTTGTCATGTTATAGATATTTTCTGAATATATACATGTTTACATTTTATGTACCACAATATATTTTTTTGCATTTTTCCTTCTTGCATTTTTCCTTCCATTTGAGTTGTAAGAATCTTTTATCCTACTGATAGATAAATACATAGAATTTAACTCAGTAAATTCACATTTTAACTTTGTTAGATTTAAATGTTGATCTCTTCAGAATTGAATTTGGTATATAGCAGAAGACAAGGACTTAAAAAAAGACAAGGACTTAAATTGTATGTATGTGTGTGTTTCTCTAACCCTAACCCTAACATTTTTCTTGTATACTAAGTTATTTTGTATATGAGGATTTTGTCTGTGTAATATTCTACTCCCAAGTCAACCTGTTTATATTTATGTCTAAGACATTGCCTAAATTACTGTAGTTTTATAATATGGTGCATCACTCCTTTGAGCTAAGTCACTGAGTGATCAGAGTATCAATACAGGAGTAGATGATTATGATTATCTTACTTACCTAAAGTCTCTACTTTTTTGAAAACATCTGTATTCTTCACTTCTGACTATCTATGCACTTCTCCATTTGACAAATGCTTAAATGCCATGTGGAAGTGTCATAATCTTGTCTTCATTTTTCTTCCTCTCCCTGTTTTTTCCCTTGTAGACTGTCAGTTTTTTAAAAACAACCACTGAGCTACATGTTGCTTCATACATTTTTAATCTATTCTGTGCCAGGATTCAGCACATGATACAACATGAATAAATATTTATCAAGTGTTGAATGAGTAACGTTGTCATTTCTGTCTGTGTCATCTCTGTGGCTCTTGGTTCTGTCACAAGGCATGACCAAAATATCCCATAATATGATATGAATATATGAAAAAATGGTGACATTGAAATACAGTGAGATAGCATATAGATATGTACTTTCTGTATGCAAAAGAGATGTCATTCATGAGGCTTTTACTATTTATAAATTGGATAGCTTGCTCTTCACATAGTGTATTTGCGAAATGAATTTTTAAAAGCTCTTATATGCATGTTTTTTAGACTCTGCTCACTATAGAAGAAGTCAGAAAGCCTAAGTTTGAAACTTTGGAGCTCATAGAATGAAGAGGCTAGAAAATCACAGCTTTTATTAATTTGATTTTCATTCATTCTACACATGTACTGAGGGAATGACCAATTATATAACATTTGGAGATGAGTATAGAAACGGAAAGCTAGATTCCCTTGCTCAAAAAAGTACTCAGAATTTTCAAGATGATCACACAAAGCGTGTAAGGAGACGTGGAGCCTTCTGCAGCTGCGTAGGTTGAACGCACACGAAGCTGGCCCGTGACGGAACACCGCCGGGGTGCGTGGCGCCGAGCCTGGCGGCGCTGGAGAGGCGGCTGCTGCGGCCACTGCCCTTGGGAAAGCCGGAGACTTGACACAGACTTGACGCAGAACAGTGACGGTATATTTTCGTGAAGTTTCTTTATTATCTTCTCTCATTCAAAATTATTTACAAATTTGATTCCTTCATTCTTATTTCCAAATCCCAGCATAGTTTTCCGTCTTTCAAATTCTTAGGTAATAATTTAGCAGAATTCATTAAATGACAGCTGTTTGCAGGATTCTTTCCTAGGACTAGATGAAGATAAAATACAATTAGAAGCTTATTTTATCAGGACAAATATTTTCAAGAAAGCAGCATAAAGGTTTATGGAGGGCATTTTACACTGGTAGTGGGCAGGTTTGTGCAGAAGCAGTTGGAAATTTTTCCCTCATTACTCTGACTTCCTGGAAGGATATTATCCTCCAAATGTGAGAAGCACTGTCACCAAGAAAGAAATACAGCTTATTTGAAGGAGAATGTTGCAGATCATGATTATGTGATTTGTTGTGAGTTTGTTGCTAATATATGTGTGATGGTTTTCTTTCAGGGAGGGGACAATATCAAAATATATTAGCTCAAACCCCTCAAGAGTAGGTGGGAAATGACAGAAATATATTCTCTTTGGCAACTGATTCCTCAGCATGCTAGATATGCCCAAACAAGCACAGGATTTTTTTTGACATCTGTTTTACTTTGTTTCTTGCTTTTTCTAGAATTCAAACTGTCAGCTCTTGCTCTGCTAACAATGTGGGCCATGAGCTAGAGTATATTCAGATCACTGATGAGCACTACAGGCGCTGGTGCCTTCCACAGCCCCGCTGAAATGAGATGGCAAGCAACGTGAAATGGAGTCACGGGGAGCGCATATCACCTGCTGCAAGGAGCAACGTGTTGAGAGCAATAAAACTTTTTCTAAGACTGTGTGCCATTTTGCAAGATTGTGTGTTCACAATAATAATATTTTTTCCTACAACCTACTTCACACATTGCTTGCCATAAACAGATGTTGGTTTTTATGTTTCTAAAACCATTTGTAGCTCCATGTTCATATTCACTCTCTTTTGAGGTAGGGCAGTCAGTTATAGCAATATGATTTATGGTAGTGAGCAGTGATAGAATTCCAGAATTTAAAGTGATGTTAAGTATCCCGTGAGTTTATAAGAAGTCTCAAAACAAAGATTTCTGGAGAAAGCATAAATGTACAAAAGAAGCAAGGTGTGTAGGGATTTTGTTCTCCACTATGTATTTCATTATTGCAGACTCAGTAGAAAAACTTTATTCATAGTATTGTTTTTTATTAAAAAGTGTATCTTCTGTTTTAAATTTTATATTTAATCAGTTAAAATTCTCTGAAGAGAGCGTAATCCTAGAATGCAAATTCACCTCATGTCAAGGTGTGAAGGGAGCAAGTGGGCTTTTGACCTTCATTTTCTCCTCAAGGTCAGCCCTTAAATGGGAAGTAAAATGTTAGTGTGGGCAAAACAACTTTTTCAGCCCACTAAAATATAAATAAGACCCTCTTTTTAAATACTGATATTCTTATTAATTTCTAACATTCAGTCTCAGTATAAACAGGGTGCCTGCTATGAAAATGCAGTTCCAAGTCTTCATGTCCTTCCAGAGTTTTTCTAAAGTCCTCTAGGGGGCTGCAGCTTTCTCTCCCTAATTCCATCCTTTGAGTTTTCCTGTACCCTTACCAGTGAGCCCCTTCCCCTTCGTGAGGCTCCTCGTGAGTGCGTCTCTCCCCAGCCACAGCGCTGTCCTTGGCAGTCTCCCTTGGGACTGCGGTTCTGTGTCAGTGCTTCTTCCCCAGGACACTTCAGTGTCTAAAGGCAGCACTACGCTGGGTTCTTTGACTGGCAGTGCTCCTGAGCCCCTCAGAAGTTACACCGACAAATGACCGATGTTCATGCAACCTAGAATTTATTTTCCTAAACAGAAGACTAAAGGACACCTGGTATTGAATTTAACATTGGGTTCCTGCTCATACACAAGAAAAAATACCCTATTATTTTAACACAGTTGACAAGAATATATCCTTTGCAACTGGAATTAGACATGATTATCTGAGCAACTGTGCGTGATTTGAATTGCAGATTATTCTGCTGCATTCAGTGTAAGCTCCTGAGAGCAGCAAAGGCCATTTTCCTAAGTATCCAGCCTAGTGGACCTGAACTGATATCAGTAAAGGGCAGTTCACAGGCTCTTGGTGACTAATGTCCACCACCTATATTGCCATAGTTTGGAATAACCAGTAATAGTGAAAAGAAATGGGAAGAAGATTGTTATTAATGCATTAAGTTTTCTCGCTTTTAGGATTATGTGGATGACTAAAACAATGTGTTGTGTAGTATAGATGCATTTTCCAAGACTGTGCTCTTGCTACACTTGGCATGATATTAAGGAATAGAGCCATTTTCTTCTGTTATCCCGGTACACTTAAAAGAAAATTAAAATAGTCCCTAAGGAAAGTGGTCTTCCACCTCCTACTGACATTAGTAATTACTTTGCTTAACTAAATCCAGTGTGGAAGCAGTTTATTTGTTTATTGTAAACAGAAGTTGGTGCAGTAGGGCTATTTCTGGAAGTCAGTCATGGAGTACGAAAGGACTAGCTGGGGAAACGCGGCCATTTGTCAACACCTGCTTCAGACCCTTTCAGTGAGGCTTAATCATTTTATTTCACTTTAATGTTGAGCGTCTTGCTGTAGCAAATATTATTTTTTCTATCAAGAACTAGCTTGTTTGCAATTTCAAAATCAAATGCTAAGAATTCATTGATTTAATTGTAATTGATTTGTCTTGTTTTAATAGAGGTCTCAAAATACGCGATTGTGCTAAAGGAGCTGAATATAGAAGATATTTAGTCCTGTGGGGTGCAACATGTTCCATCTTAACGTTTATGAATATCACCCACAAATATTAGTGTGTCAGCTGGAAAGACATTTGTAATGTTCATAGACATAGGGCAGAGATTTTTTGGCAGTGTGTCCCTGTCCAAGAAAACAGAAAGAGTTAACAAGAATGAGATTAAATGTAAGGAGTCTCAGACAGGTGTGACGGTACGTGACTATAATTCTTGTACTTTAGGAGGCTGAGGTAGAAAGATCACAAATTTGAGTCCCACATGAGCAACTTAGCTAGCAAGACCTTGTGCTAAAAATTTTAAAAGGGTCTAGGACTGTAGTTCAGTGCAAATTCCCTGGATTCAAGTACTGTAAAAGATTCTCTGGATTCAAGTACTGTAAAAGATTCTCTGGATTCAAGTACTGTAAAAGATTCCCTGGATCCCTAGTACTGTAAAAGAAAAAAAAAAGCCCGCCATTTCAAAGACAAGCAGTGATTTTTACCAAGCAATTTAGCCCTATAGAAGGGGTGCAGAAGAAAATTAAGGCTGAAATAAATAAATTAATTAAAACAAAACTAAAGGTTTTAAACTACCATTTTGCAGCAGTTAAAAACTTGAGGGCAAAGTCCCAACAACTGGTCTCCAACTCAACAATGCAAAGCACTGGCTTTTGGGGGACGTGTGTGAGGCTCAGCTGCTCCACCAACACCTCCAGCGTATTATTTGAGGCTCAGAATAAGAAGAAAGAGAGATGTTTGCTTCTCCTTTCTACAGATCTTATGTATTTTCTGTACTATCTGATTTAACCATTCATTATACCTCAGTTTCTTCTCATAAACTACTATAATTCTCTTTATGAACTGTAAATAAGAAACTGCAGAACTGTCCAAGGAGACAGGGCCGTGGAGAAGCAGAGACCCAGGCTACGGTCAAAAGAGTGAAAACTCAGCAGAGACTGAGATTGTCCTGACTGACTGACCTTCTACCGAACACCACAGCAAGGAACATAGCAAGCACCGGGGTGTGTCACATGATCGCTGAGGTCTCCCACTTTCCTTTGCTCACGGACAAACACACTCAAGCACACTGTGAAAACCTCCGCACACTCTCTTCACACAGCTTGTGCCCAAGCGTTCCTTCACTCAGTCACGTTTTCAGCAGATATTTCCTATCATCCACCGTTGGGGCTGTTCATTTCCTTGATTAAGCAAGTGGTAAATATTTGTTGAGGATGAACAACAAAATACCAACGGGTGACAAAAAAATGAACTTCCCCTTTAATCCCACAGTGTCAGTACAGGGGTTAGTGTGTTCACTCATCACATGTGTTTTCCCTCAAAATATATATTCTTTCTGTTTGTCTTTGTTTTTAGCAGTTCTACTCATATGAATTTCATTTTTAACATGACCTGATTTTTCTCTTAATATTTACAAATATGTTTCTTTGTCGGTTGAAATACTTCTAAAGGTTGAGCATTGCTAAACCCAAAATATGAAACTTTTTAAGCACTGACATGATATGACAAATGCAAAATTTTACACTGACCTCAAGTGACAGATTTCAGTGCAAGCACACTAAAAACACTATATAAAATTATCTTCAGGCTCTATGTGTAAGATGTATATGGGACATAAATGGATTTCACATTTAGACAAGACTCCCATCGCATGATACATCATTGAGTACACAAACATTCCAACATGCAAAACAATACAATGTGAAGTCTGTAAGATTTGTGATCCCAAGCATTTTAGAAAAGGAATATTCAACTACACAGTGTCTAACAATGGCATAATGGTCAATTGAATAAATACAGTGAAATGTCCAAAATAATTTTATTATTAGATAAGAAAGATTTTTATCTTAACCAAAAGAATATTGAAACATGGCTGTAATAAACACACATAAGTACTTTTAAACAAACATTGTATTTTTTCTAAGACAATTCTTAAACTGTAATTCTGGGGAAAATATTTTAGGACTTTTGATGTATGAGCTACAATTATAAAGCTTTTTTTTATTCTGGAGGAAGGTAAGAGGGTCTATTTATTCTTACATTGCTATTTAATAGGAGCAAAGTTATCTGTTATTGTTTACCTTTTGTTTTCTAATACATGAGGTTGAAATTGCTTGTATAGTTTTTAGTGATTTAAACACATGCTGCACAGTTTTGCTGCTTTCTAAAACTTCCGTATTCTGTGGGCATGGGTCCTTTTGATGTAATATGTGTGAGTTATTGCATACTATGAATGTTAATTAACTGCTTAAATGTTAATATATACTCCAATATTTTACCAACTTATTATTTCCTTTTTTACATACTCTATGGAAGTGTGTCTCCCATTCTCAAGGTTTTCTCCTGTGTAATGTTTTTCCTCCGAGTAGAATCTTTACTCTGAAATAGTTCATTCTCACTTAATGTAAATTTTAAAATTAATAAATTTGAAAGATTTTTATAACAAATTTTAAGTCTGTGAAACCTGTAGTATTGAAAGATTAATATATTGTTTTCTCTTTATATTTTATGTCTATATAGTACTTCATTGTATAAATTGTCATGATTTATTTGATCAGTTACCAATTTATGGAAGTTTAAATTAAAGTATTGGTACATAATATGTGGGTATTGGTCAAAGTATCTCCTTACAATAAATTTCTACATGAAAAATCTTAAGTATAAAATGTACAGTGTTTAGGCTTTTGAAACAATCACTAATCTCTCCTCAAAAAATGGAACCAATTTATACTTTTTCCAGTATATAGGAGGGCTACCTCTTTCATATCTATCAACACTGAGTGTTATCATTCTTGCTTATTTTCCGGTGTATAAACAAAAATATCTTCATGAAATTATAATTTTCAATGTAAGGATTTGATAGGGAGAGTAGAGAAACAAAATTTTAGGAGACTGGAAGGTAGGTCGAGTATAGACTTGATGATGAAGAAAACAAATGTTGAGGAAAATCTGTTGTCAACTTGGAAGTGAATAGTAAAGTTGGCAGTTCAAGAAAATGAGTTTAACGATTAAGAAATCTGTTGCAGTGATTCAGGTATAATTACGTAAGTCCCAGCGAAGATGTGCCGTCGTAACTGTGTTGAACTTAATGTGGTGAGAGATTTAAAGAGAAGAGATTTGAAGGGTTCCCTATTGGAAATAAGGAAAGTTAGTAAGCTTATGATGATGGGGCAGTTGGTAAAGAAGTTAATGGACTGAGTTTGAAATGCCGAGCCGTGACGGAGGTAGGACAAACATCCGCATAAAGGGACCATTGCAGGTTAAATAGGGAGCGACCAGGCCAGGTAAGGAGATGGCTCAAGATTACCTCCAGGCTGTAGCAAAGAAATCATCAAGAAGTATTATGATTGCATGTCGGGTGCTGCAGACTAAGGAGAAAGGTAAATGGGCCGTTATGGCTGAATTTTCCAAAATTTAGGATATAAAGCGATGTTAATACAGTGAGAGACTGGAGAGTAGAAAGGAGAAGAGATGGACAACCTTTGCTGAAAGACCAGATTCATGGAAAGAATTTTAGCGGTTGTGAGGTTCAGCAGTTTTCAAATTAATTGATTCAAGATATTTAAGAGGTTGAGGAAGATAGGTCATGTGAAATACTCTATGTACATGTACAGTATGTGTGTGTGTGCGCGCATAGGTAGGAAAAGGTGTACATGTTGCTTTGGTCACGCTTCAACACAGTGTCATGGGCTGAGTAGCCTAACCGGTGTACAATTACTTCTCACAGTGATGGAAACTGAGAAGTTAAGATCAGGGGCTGGCAACTTAATGTTTAGTGAGAGCGCTGTTCTTGCCTTGCAGACCCTATTCCTGTACGTGGTGGAGAGAGGAAGAGCAGACATCACTCTCCTCTTGTAAAGACAGGAATCTCATCAGAGCATCACCAGTCCTCTGACCTCGTCTGAGTCAAATCACCTCACAACGCCCCTCTCACATATTATCACCGTCATGAGTTTCACATGTTGGGTTTGACCATCTCATTGGGCTTCAACCTATGAATGAGGCAAGCACACAAATATTCCACCCATGCCATGCTGTGGAGCTGTTTCATGTTTTTCATCTATTATTTAACCAGAGAGACTTCACATTTACCTATCAGGTTTTGTATAAGGTTGCATTTATAGAAAAGTCTATTTCTATCGTGACCTTGAAGAACTTGAAACCCGATAGCTCAGTCCTAACCCTACATCTTAAAATGGCAGAAAAATTGAGACTCCAAGAGACTAAGGGCCCTGTTTAAGTTTATTCATTCATTTATCAGTATTTAGAAAGCATCTTTTATGAACTAAGGCATGAGGAAGGAATTGAAAGTATCGCCACAGGGCCAGGGATATAACTCAGTGGCATAAGTGCCTGCGTGGCAAACGCAAGGTCCTGGGTTCAATTCCCGACACCAAATAAATAAATAAATCAAAGTAAAGCCATAACAAGACTGAAGAACCAGGAAAAGAGCGAGATACTCATGATAACCACCACAGGTGCAGGTCTATAAAGGCAAAATGAGGTGTCGATGTAGGCAGTGGCCCTGGGTCAGCCGTTTCTTAGAGACCCTTCCAGAATGGTGTCCCTCTGCCTTCTGCAGTGGGAGTGAACTTGGTCAGGTGCTGAAATGCCCTCCAACGCTGACTGGACTTAAAGTAAAAATAAACTTAAAGTCAGAATAAAAATTCATCAATTTACTCAGTACCTTGCATGTTTAATTCAAGGAAAAAAATCACTAGATTTCGAGACCATTAGAAACAGTTTTCTCAGCTTCAGTGGTAGTGGTTCTAACATTAAAATTGTAACTTTGTTGTTTTTCAGAGACATTGACTTCTGGCTCTAATGTCATCAACCTCAAATTTTCTTACTTTGTGTGGAATATAAGAATCTTTCTCCACTCCTCTGTCTTTTCCTGTGGTCTTTTTGCTTTCATTAGTGTCTCTTGCCTCTGGAGCTATTGACACATTGATAACGGCAACTTCTGCTGAGAGCCTTTTAGCTTTGTCATGGATCAATATGTGATTTACTTTACTTTCACGGCTTTACACTTTCTATTAGATAAGTAATATGTGTTCACTGAAGGAAATTTGAAAAAAATGCATATCATAACTTAAAATTTTTTAAAAACAATTTACCATGCAAACATAACAACTATCAACATCTTGATATGTACTTGAAGTATTTTAATTATATTAATAAACACTCCTTTGTAATAACTTCTATTTTGTAATTTACTTTATTAAAATATTACCAAAATATTACTTGATATAATTATCTATTATGTGATATCTAATGATGTTATTATGATATACCTGTTTAAATACTTATATTTAATATTTATTTAAAATTATCTTTATACCATTTACCACTTTATGCCTGTTACCATTTATTTATATTCATTGTTTCATTTAAATTTCAAAACATTATCCATGACACTCTTACTACCTCCATCTTATTGCAGAGGATATAGAGCACAGTAGAGCTCTAGATTGCGTAGTGCTTGGTACAACCAAAACTTGAACCCAGGCACTCGAGCTCTGAAACTCAAGATTATTCACCCTGGCTGCCTATTGAATAGCATGCCACTGTTTCCAAAATTGCACGGTAACAATATCCTAATGGTAGGTACTGAAATGTGTACATTTTTATTGGTTTTTTTGAAAAACACAATGAATATTGTTGAAGATAAATCTTTACTCCCATATTTTCTAATTTTCTCAAGATAAATTCCTAGGGTTATTTGCACAATTTATGATACTAAATTTTTATGAAAACTTAAATCTGGCCTAGCACACACAGACTGAAATAATAGAATACTAAACTCAAATCCTCTTTTGATTTTCAGGAAATCATATTACCATTGAGTATCTTGGGGAAAAAGCCCAATAATCCTTTTCTTACTTTGAATTACAAAATATGATAAGTATAAAAGGTGATATGTATGAATTCACACTTGACTAAATTGTTGAGATGTGCAGTTTTGGAAGTGTTTGAAGGTGGAGTGCGGCACCTAGAACAGTGCCTTCCATATGTAAAGGACTCTCAACTGCAGCCTCATGACTAATTAGTGCAGATCTGGAAAGTGTCATATGTTTGGTATTTTGGTGATATTTATTTTAAAAAATTCACTATAGTCCTTTGATAATTACAGAGATGATCTGGAAGCTTAATAAATGACATATTAGAGCATTGGGATCAAATAGTCTCAGTGACCCTATTATATATTTTTGTAAATACACCAAGCAATTAGCACTGCTTTAATCGAATTGCCTAGTATAGCTGTTTCCAATGTTAGTATGCCTGTGTATTAGCCAATTTCTCCTTCCTGAAACAAAATACTCAACACCCACAACTTAAAGGAGAAGGTGCTTGTTTTGGTCCATGGTTTTAGATCATAGCTGACTGGCTCCAAGGCAGACACTGCATGGTGCAAAGACGTGATGGAGGAGAACTTCACACCTGCAGCCAGGAAGCAGAGAGATAGATGGAGTTAAGGGGGAGACGCATCCTTCTAGGTCATGCACCCAGTGGTCCACCTCCAGCCAGACCCTCCTCCCAATAGCATACTCGGCTGTGTGCTCCTCAGAGGGTTAGCCTCCTAGTTCCTATGTGTGTGAAATTGGATTGGATTAGATCATGGGGACACTGTACTGATGATACACCATCATCTAATCCAGCTTCACACACGTGGGAATTTGGGGAAGCAGTTTAGATCTAAACCATAATAGTCTAGGAATGTCCCTTATACTTGAAAATTGTTTGTGAAAGACACTAAGGTGCAGTAGCATTTGGAAACAATTTGAACCTATTGGTCTTTAATATTTTCTAAGGCAAAAATCAAATGATCTCTCTGTCTATATATGTATGTATATGAGGGTGTGATAAAAATTATCACACTGAAAGTGTAGATAAGAACCAAATGGATAATAGATATTATGAAATAAGAAATTGTTCAAAAGGAAAGGGGAATTAGGGAGAAGGGAGGAGGAAATGAAGGAAAAGAAAGGTAACATGGAAACAAAACTTTGTAAATAAGGAGGGGAAGACGGGGGAAGGGAAGGGAAGAGAATGAGAAAAAAGAGGCCTCGAGATATGTCATCCATAGGTACAAATTCCTACAATGAATATGATCATTATGTATATCTGAACTGTACCACTAAACTTAATAAAAAAGTGATATATGTAACATTTAAATTACAAAAGTATAATAAACCCACGAATCAAAAAAAATTATTACAGTAAAAAGCACATTGTCATTAATGCCTTCTCAAAAATACTCCCTGTGATGCAAATACACTTACCCCATTATTCTTGCCACTTTCTGAAGCAGTTTTGGAAATCCTCTGCCATGGACGTCTTTAGCAGCACTGTCATAGCTGCCTGCATGTCCAGGACCAATTCAAACATTCACCTTTCCCGTCACTTTGACTCTGAGCAGGGCTGAGCCAGACCGTAGCAGATCTGATAAACAAGGTGGACGCGGGCACTGAGGAGTGCTCTGCACGTTTGCCTTCCCACTGCATGGCACGTGGCGGCAGGATTCGCTGCACTTTCGTTCACACTTCATAAAAACACGCACAGAAGAAGACTTCTGCAACGGCTTCAGATAATGGCAAGA